AAAAAAATATATTTTATTGATTATTTTTACAGAGAGGAAGGGAGAGGGATGGAGAGTTAGAAACATCGATGATGAGAGAGAAACATCGATCAGCCGCCTCCTGCACGCCCCCCACTGGGGATGTGCCCGCAACCGAGGTCCATGCCCTTGACCGGGAATCGAACCCGGGACCCTTCAGTCCGCAGGCTGACGCTCTATCCACTGAGCCACACCGGTCAGGGCAATATCTGGTTTTTAAAAGGGATGCTATGAACAGCCACTACGAATTCCCTATGACATTGTTCTGTGCATCGGACCGATCGATTGCGTGATTGGTTCGTCATTGGAGGGTGTCCTTAGCTTCCTATAATGACCTTTGCATTTGCCCACAGATATCTACCCGAGACCAAAGCCACCGCCCCCTCGGCCACAGCCTGGCTACCCCGACGGTGGAGGTAAGAACGGCGTCTACTGGGGCTCATTTCATTTTTGTCGTTGTTGTTAATCCTCAACTGGGGATATTTTCCCATTGATTTTTAGAGAGAGTGAGAGAGAGAGGGAAAGTCAGAGAGAAATATCGATGTGAGAGAAACACATTGATTGGTTGCCTCCTGCATGAGCCCCAACCAGGGTCCGGGCTGGAGAGGAGTACATGCCCTTGACTAGAATCGAACCCGGGACCCTTCGGTCCACAGGCCAACACTCTATCCACTGAAGCCAAACTGGCTAGGGCTGTGATAGCATCTTCAAGGTCAAGTTGTGGTTTGGATGTAAAAGCACTGGACTGAGGATTTATTTCTACTATAATTGCTGATTTATAAGCAAAGTGAAATGGCCATTTTTGATGCTATCTTTAAAGAGGATTTATTATCTTTTTCCTAGCCATTGAGTTTTTGTTTTGTTTTGTTTTGTTTTTTCACCCCATGCAAAGGATTTATTTTCTGCAATTGGGCTAAAATATGGCACTGCTGTGTATGGGGTGAGACAGCATACAAAAGGCACTGGCTGAGTTCAGTCCGTTCTCTAATTTGAGCCCAGGCCTTGACATGAGGGTCAGAAAATAATCTTTGAAACTCAGGGAAGTAGAATGAGTTTTGTTTGGAACTAGAAAAAGGGAGCATGAAAAAACAAAGGTCTACTGCGGAGCAGAACAAAAAACAAGCTATGAAGTGGAGCATCACTTATATTGAAAAGAAATAGTAACCCATTTGAGTGACTAATGTATCTTTTCAATGGAACCCTAATGGTTTCTTCTTTAGTATGGTTTTCTTCTGCTAATTTAAATTTTCCAAGGCTTTGTTTTACTAACTTGCTAGAAAAATTGCTATCAAATTGTTTGAAGAAGGTAACAGCACAATGAATGAGAGAATCAAACCACCAAAATTGAAATCTTGCCTCCACCAATTATTGACTGTATGTCCTTGGTCAAGTTATCTAACTTCTCTGTGCCTTAGTTTCCCCAACCATAAAAAAAGGAAAACAGCATGAGGATAGTATGAGAATTAAGTGAGATAATGAATGCAAATAGCTTAACAGAGTTTGAGATTGGAACTATGGGAAAGTGCTTAACAAATTATAGCTGTAATTTTATTATTATCAAATGTTTAATTATTTCTGTATACAGACAGTACTA